ACAAAACAAAAAAAAAAAAAAAAAAGAAGAAGAGGAGGGATGGACCCCCTTCTTCCTGCTGCACAGCCCCCCTCTCTCATCCCTCTCCAACAGTATCCCACAATGCACCTGCCTCGTGCGTGAAGGAAAGAGAAAGAGGAGAGAGGGAATCCCATTTGACCTTGACAGGCATGCTAATGTGGGCGGCCATGCAACTGCAATGGAGCATCCCACTGCACAGCATCACAGGGGCCCAGCGCAGGCTGACTGAGCCTGGGCTGGCCTATAGGAGCGAGGGAGGGAAGAAAGGAGTAAGGGAGGGTGTCGTGTTACCACCTCACCCTGACCAAAAAACAAACAAAGGGGGGGGGGAATCATTACATAAAATGAACCTGGAGTGTTGATAAAGAGATAACGAGATAAGGGGTTGTTTCTATTCTCTGTCAATCTGTGAATGGACGCTGTGGTTGTCTCCATTAAAACCTTCCCCATCACTGCCAGACCCTCCATTACACACTTGTTCTTGGGCTGAACGCAGTACAAAGCAGAGGCTGAGGTGCACCTTCAGCTTCATCACTCATCTCGGTCAGAGCCTCCTGGTGGAGGCTTCTCCTCTAACACCTCCACGTAGGCCACCGCGGGCTCCTGGGCTTCTCCAACATCTACACTGATGCCAGTCTTTTTTTTTTTTTTTTTTAATCGATGCGCACGAATGGACGTGTAAACGCCTAAGACAGGTCCGAGCCGAGCCGAACTGCGAGGGATTGAACATGTAACGAACGGATGCGGTAGATGGAGCGCAGCCTCCGGGAGTGTCACGGGAGCCGATGCGCTAATTGGTGCTAAATAACGGGATTCTTACCCCAGCTGCTGGCCGTGCGCCCCAGCAGCTCCCCGGTCCTCGGGTTGTAGATGACATCCTTCCAGCTGGAGTCGTTCTCCTTATTGGTGGCTTTGTCCTCAGTCTTCGCCATGGTTGCTGATTGTTCCCCCTTTTTTTTGGTTAAAAAAAGTGTTCTTTTGGTCCAATATTTGCGGTTTCCTCTGCGTATAAAAAAAAAATTGCGGAAAAGCGCAGCGGGCGATGTGATGAGGCGAAGAAGAAGAAGAAGCCGGCGAGGCGGCGGTGAGTGGAGGGATCAATGGTTGGGAAAGGAGTGGGCGGTGCAGAGAGAGAGAGAAAGGAGAAGAGAGGAGAGGAGAGAAGAGGAGAGGAGAACCGGAGGAGAGAGAGAGAGAGAGAGAGAGAGAGAGAGAGGAGAGGTGCTGTGGTGGACCAGAGAGAAAAGGTGAGGAAATGTGGTGAGAGAAGAACGTCAGTGACGTGTACACACGGCCCCGCCCCTCAGCCATTGACAGCTGATGCAGTAAGAGGGGATGGATGTTGACGAGTTCAGGACGGGGAAAACGATTATGCGAAAAATGTCTTCTTTTCTCGTTATTATTTATGTCGCAAATCAAACCATGCGTGCGGTTGTTGTCGTAGCTGGAATTCCATATCGACTCCGGACTCCCAGGTCAAAGGTCTGGGTTCCCATAGGAGAACGAGGCCTCTGTGTCGCAGGGAGAGAGACCTTTAAACGTGAACCATATGTTGAGTCTCCAATTACGGAAACAACGAAGCTGTGGCTGCTTACTTAGAGGACACTTCTTCATCATAAAGCCCTTTTTAAACACAAGCGCCATCTTTAATAAAACCTTGGCTAACCTGTAGGGGGAGACATCTCTGTTACTCCCTTTTGTGCACAACATATCATACCAAGTGCAAAGCAACATTATCTTGCAAAACTCTGTTCACGTGAATATTTTTAAATATGATTTTTCTTCTTCTTCTTCTTCTTCTTCTTCGTCCCGGGGGTACGGAGGACAAACACTCGTATTAACTGAAGTCTTTTTGGCGGTCCATGTGATGCATCGCGTTTCTCTGACTGTTTCTCCGACTGTTACGGACCGCTCCGCTTCATCCGCACACGCCACGTGTGGACTGTGTCACCAAACCTCGAACCAATCCAACAGGTCTGGATCTGTTACCACAGCGATGGATGAACGTCTCTTTCCCCTAACACACACACACACACACACACATACTTATAGACACATGAACGCGGGTGATCGGCACATCTGAAGTAGACGAGGATGCTATTTATGACTGAATGGCTGTGCTTAGATATTTGGGGCATTTGCCTTGTCCTTGTTGCCATGGCAATGGAGCACTACTGAAAGAAGAGGTGTGTGCGCGCGCGGGCGCGTGTGTGTCTTTGTTTGAGAAAACGATAGAGAGGGAGAGAGAGAGAGAGAGAGAGATGCATGGCTGCGGACAGATGTGTCAAAGTGAACAGAGAAGAGTGGGACGCAGAGCCGGAGAGACGACGGCGTCCCTCCAGTTATCATCACCATCAGGACATATAGCTGCGACGTATGGAGAAATGGACGCGACGCTTACGTAACTGCCTTCCTCCCGTAGCGGTCGTACGTGTTGCCGATGGCAGGAGTGAATGGGGGGGGGGGGGAAATATCAGCAGCGGTTCAGGCAGAACGATGACATCAGAGCCTTTAATTAAAATTGGCATTGCCAAAGCTTAACTTTTACCTTCCTGACGCTCAGATAAATCCCAATGTGTCACAGAGAGAGGAGGGGGGAGAGGGAGTTATATAATGACCCCTGATGCAGGGTTCAGCTAACATGGGGGGAGGGGGCCTGGAGGACTGGTCACACTGCATCTAGTTCCTGCTGTCAGATTGAATTTGTTGCAAGGCAAGGCCCCACCACAACTCATACAATGCGGCAACAGGCACTATACAAGTCCTCTCTCTCTCTTTCACACACACACACACACACACACACATTAACTGATTAGTGTGAGAGCCAACAGAACGGCCCTCATCAACCTCATTCACTCAGTGACACTTTTTGTTTTTCCTCCTAGCGATGACATCCCGCCGCTGCAGTCCGAGCCCACGTCTGAGGGAGACAACCTGCACACAATCCTGTCATTGTTTAGGAGAAACCCCCGGTTTTTTTTTTTTTCTCTCTCTCTCTCTCCTCTCCTCTGCGGGCTCTCGATTCACCATACCAGCATTACCAACAGGAATACACTCCCCATTTGTTCTCAGTCACTCCATCCACGAGCTGCCATAGCAACCCCTCACAGTGAGGTCACACACCAATAGGAAGCCGTCGCTTCGCTCATCTGACAGCCGGCGTTTCTGACAATTCCCCCAGAAGGAAGACGCCGGCACTTCCCCGGAGTCCGAGCGGAGGTGAAACTCCTCAGGGCGGCATCTGTTCACGCAGTCTGTCACGGAACCACATTAGCAGAGAGAACGACTGAATCCTCCTTGATTTCCTCCACACAACACACAATGGGCTAGCAACGTCAACGTACATAAATGATTTATTCCAGCGACACAGGCTGACCTCTGCCCTTGATGAAATGACGGGTCAAAGGTCACTTTGTTCTGAGGGGGCATCAGCCCGTCGTACACTGACACAGAGCGGGTGTTAGGAGAAAAACACAGGTGTGCGCATCAGAAATACATTCAATGTAATGTTCACATTTGTACTGGCGGTCGACGGCCGTCGTCACAGTTCATCAGGTCAACACGAGGTCCTGAGTCAACACCTAGTGCGACAACGTAGTGGACGAAACAAATCATGCCTTTTTTGTCTCATTTTGTTTATATTGGCTCATTGGTTGCTGCTAAACAGAAGGCCGAGCTGTTCTTACCTAGCCCAGCCCTGTTTACTTTAACAAAGGGAACAGATAAACAACAAAGCTCGTCTGTTAATGAGCGTTTCTTTCGACCGCGCGTTCATTTATGGTCAGCCTGAGGAGGGTACAGTACATATCAAAGCCACGTTGTTAGCAAACGTTAACACGTCCCGAGAGCCACACTACACAGGTTAGTTCGGATTAGTTGTTAAAAGTGTTCCCGTTCCAATATTCCATATTCATGTAGTGTTTCTGTGTCTTTCCCTTATCGTGTAAACTACCTGTTAGTGCCCTCTTGTGGACATCGAGCCGAACTGTTTGAGGTACAATGAAAAGGCACTTGTGGCTGAGAGTGGAGGTAAATAATCCCCCTGAGAAGTCATGGAATGGTTCAGATCAGAGGTTCCAGTTTAACAGTCCGAGTCCTTCAAGTGTTTTGGCTGTGGATTAATCGACCTTTGCTCTTTTTCTTACTATTTTCCTAGTCCCTGTCGGTCGGTTTGTGTGTCGAATTAGATGAACTACTTTTTGGTCCCTCCGTTTACTTTGGCTCAGCCCTGTCAGAGTCAGGGCTTGTTGTACCAGTACATAGACCGCTGCAGCGCCCTCTCCCAGCTCTGAACGACAGGGATGTACTCTCTGTTCCGGTTGTTAATCCCATCCTTGGATGCTGTTTGAGGCACGAAGACCATGTCGTCTCTCTGCATCTTCTTCAGCTCATCTTTACTCTTCCAGAAGCCTGCAATGAGACAGGAATGTTGACGAGGGAAGGAGGGAGAGGGGGGCGGGGCTAACGGTTCTGACCTACGATGTTTTCTGAAATGTGTTCACCGACATACCGACGCCAAGCCCAGCGACGAAGGCGGCTCCCAAACAGGACATCTCGTGGTGCTGCGCCCTGGAGACCTTTTTGCCGAGCAGGTCGGCAGTCAACTGCATGACAAAGTCATTGGAAGAAACTCCTCCGTCCATCCTGAAGAAAAGAGACTTTACTGTGAGGGGATCAACAAAAACATCCAGCAGACAGGTAATGGATAGCCTAACAGAGATGGAAGGGCATTAGTCGAGGCGGTGTGGACAAGAGAACAGTCTGATGAAATCAGTCTGTTGGCTCAAAGCCACCTGCTGCAATCAGATATCTGTTAGCTGCAGAGTTAAAGGAAGAAACGCCACATCAATAACGGCGGTATCGACAATCAGGAGACGAAACAGGAGATTCAAAAAAAAAACAAAAACCCCGCACCTGATCTTTTTAAAGGGGATGTGAGTTTCTCTCAGCATGATCTCGTACAGCTGCTTGTTCCTGCGGGGAGTGAACACGTTTCAGAGTTCAGCCTCGTCATGTCCCTGAAATCATATTTAGTTAAAAATCCACTGAAAGTAGTTAAAGGAGTTTAATAATTCACCTGAAGGTGATGGACTCCAGTATGGCACGGACCAGGTGGCATTTGGTGCTTGAGGGTTTGAGGCCCATGAACGAAGCGCAGGCTTTAGGATCGTTGAGCGGTGCCTTCGGATCAAAACAGAGACATACGGAAAACATGTCAAAGGAAATACAGGACAAACAAATCGGTCGGCGTGTTTGTTTACCACACTGTGAGGGTTAAACAAAAAACAACATGGAGGACGCGGACTTACAAAGGCCGGGCGGAGGCGAGAGCAGAGAGAAAAGAATGAGACACAACAATTTGAAAATGGCAAAAATAAAAGAAATGTTGACACGCTAAATAAATGGGAAAACATTTCTGCAGCCGTTTCACCTGCAGGCCACTGAAGGACGGTACAAAACACACTCCATCAGAGTCAGTGACGCTGTAGGCCATGGCGCTGGTCTCCTGGACGTCCCTGAAGAGATCTGGAGGGAAACACACAAACAGATTTTATTTAAAGTCAAAGTGATGGAAACCTCGTGCAAAAGTCTCTGCTTATTTTCTCTGGCCACTGGTTGAGTCGGAATAAGAAGTAGAAAAGACATTAATTGAGTCAAGACACTGGACACATGACAGAGATTAGCTCATCAGTCAGTCCTTCTGCTTTTAGTTCCCACCCTCTCCTGACTGAATTATCTGGGCTGTGTCGTTGCTTCACTCAACTCTACGATATCCTGTACTTCCCCCTGACTGTTTTGGTCAGGATGTTCTCAATGGCCATAAAATGATCTTTTTTATTGCCTGTTTATTTTGCATTGGCAACAACTGTAAATTGGATTCCTCATTCACAGTAGAAAGAAGCCGCGGGCCAAACCCGGTCCATTAGGGGGTTCAATCCGGCCCGCTTAATGAATTTTAAAAATGCACAAATGCTTCATGTTCGTGATGATTTGTCAAATTATATTTCACCTAATTTCTGTGCCCACTTGATAGCGGTGCCGGTGTCCGCAGCGTTGCCCTCGGCCAGGTAGACCACCTCTGGTCCGATCTTCCAGCCCACCACGGGATACAGACCTGCAGAGAAGAAGCCGGCCGTCCAGCCGTAAGTGTGACCGCATCACAACAGGTGTGTGTGTGTGTGTGTGTGTGTGATTTGTCACCTGCTAGAGATGTGTGTGGTTTGCTTCCAGTGTTGATGTTCATGAAAGTGCCTGTTCCCATGGTGATCTTCATATCGCCCACATCAAAGCAGCACTCTCCAAACATGGCCGCCTGCTGGTCCGCCATCTAGACATAGGAGCGTCAGAAGGAAATCGATGTCTTATTATCAACAGTTTCACTTCCACCTGAGCTCCAGATAAAAAAAACTATTCACATTATGTCAAAGTGGAAAATCAATCGGTCCTGTACTGGTTTATAATTTGGATTTGTGGAGCTTCAACAACAGCAGTGATTGGCTAATTTATTATAACCTTTACAGTGAAAACACACGTGCGATCCTGAGACTTTGACTCACCAGTGAAAAGATAGGAATGGGGACTCCGAAGATTGACGGGTCTGTGGAGCCAAAGTCGTGGCTGGCGAGACAGACCAGAGACAGTCACCTCCTCTGACACACAGCAGTTCGACATCTGTGCTGTGGTGAAGTACTTTATATGTATATATTTACAGTTAGAAACCATGACTCACCAAGTGTTTTCTACTTTTGGTAAAATAGAGAGCGGGAGAGACAAGATATAACCGAAAAAACCACTCCAACACATCTGTAAAGAACATTTCACACACATGTTACACGGCAAACACACACAAACCCGATTAAGAAAATGAACTAAACCACAACGAAAATAAATCGCCCCTGACCTGGTAGGTGTCAAACATTCCTGTTGCACTGGCATTAGAATAATCCGTGGCATGGACTTGACCTAGACAAAAATGTGTGATAACATACAGGAAATCAAATTTTACTGTTATGTTTCTCCCCTTGTACAATGCGTACATTGTACATTCTCAAGGAGTTTAAAGTCTTCAGTAATAGGATAAACTCAGACATTCCTCAAACCAAACACCACCGGTCAGAACTGTGATGAATGGTCAGAGGCGTAGATTTGAGTGAAACCACTGTGATGAACGGTCAGAGGCGTAGATTTGAGTGAAACCAACCTTTTGTGAGTCTGAACAGAAGCCAGGTGTCTATTGTTCCGAAGCAGCAGTTTCCTTCATCGACCGCCTGACGAACCTGAAACATGATCACGAAACAGGTTGTAAACCCACAACCTGTGGTACATGTTGCACTTGTTTTATGTGTAGGACAGGACACACTTGTTTGGAAATACTACACCCTGCTTTCCACTCAAGAGCGAAAAGGATCCTTTTCCAATATCATACAGCGTTTTCGAGGGGGGTTGGCTAAGTGTCCCTTTTTGCACTGTTGACTTCTCTTTTGAAAGAATATATATAGTTATACTTTCTATATTTGCTTTAACCTCAATGCATTTAGCCTAGCATTTACATTGTTTTTGTTGGGTAGATTGAATTTTGGTCATGGTAAATCTGTTGATGACATTTACTTTTGACTAGCTACACCCATGACAGACATGTGTATTCTAAACAGCATGAGTACTAGAGTGCCTCCATTTGATTGTATCTCTACTTCTCACACTAATGCACGAACCCATTATCAGCTGATGCATCAGATCCGGTAAAAATGTGACTGGATTCTGATGATTTGAATCATGGTGAATTTCAACAATAGCTACAGTTAGTCATGATTACAGGAAGTCACGTGGTATATACTGGCCAAGTATGAACTATGAGCCATACACATATCACAAACAAGCGTTTTTCAAAACGTCAGATCACATATCAGATGCTCTGTGTTCATCTTTTACCCCCTCACCTTCTTGTAGTGTGTCAGAGCCCACAAGAGGCGTAGCGTTACATGCTGAGTGCTGAAGACAATAATACTCGCTGCGAGTAGTCTTTTCTGCCTGGTGAAGAAGTACAGCAGCTTCATAATGCCGTGCATCGCCTTCGGTTGTCGGGGCGGTGGACAAGACAACAGAAATGTACGTTGTTTACAGTGGATGCAAAATTGATGTTTCTATATAATAATGTTATTATTTCTCAATACTCACCGTCATGGTGCAGGATCTGTTCCAAGACAAAACCAGGTCAGTGGCCCTTCGGTCCTGCCAGGTGATGAAGTTGTGAAAGGGAATTCCAGTTTTCCTATAAGGGACGGCAAAGGAAATGAACTGAAACTAGAAAATATGTTTTTTTTAAAACTTTACTGAAATGGCCAATACAAAGTGTAATTGTTGAGGATCTAATGTGTAATTCCTTTTTACCTATCCCATGTTGTGAAGGTAGCACGTTGCGTAGAAATACCCAGGGATTCCATTTGGCACATTTGCACTCCTGCATCTACGCACACACAAACAAGTGAATATAAATGTGTTAGGTGCAATGGATAAAGGATATCATTATTATTATATTATATATATATAGCCTATTTATTATATTAAATGATCTGACATTTCTATATTATTATTATTATTACTTTATGACGTTTGCCATAACAGCAACATCCAACACTGGTTATATGGATGTGCACAGTTGTGCACCTGTACCTTGAACAGCTCCTTTGACCACATTGACAAATCCTTTCCAGAGTTCTTCAGGCTCCAACTCGACATAACCCACCTCTGGATACAAGGGAACCACCTTGATTAGGAGGTTTTAGAAGTAAATACACCATGTCATATGTGGGATTGTTTGAAAGTCAAAAACAACAAACATCTAGAACAACCTGTGTGCTGCAGGATCCGCGGATCGTCGCGTTTTTGTCGTAGACATGACAGCGGATGGTTGTGGTACCGACGTCCACGGACAGAATGAAGCGCTCTTTATTGAAGCCGTTCCTCTGACTCCCCATTATGGAAGAGAGAGGACTGGGTGCAGAAGTAAAAGTATTTTTCACAGCACCTTTTAGTCTATCATCATCATCCGCCTGTTTACAGCCGCAGTGTAGCTTATCTCCAGCGAGGAATGACCTGACCTGAGGTTGGCATTCGAACTTCGGACTAGTCCTAGTTCCACCTGTGCAGCACGGATGCGTAGAAAAAATACTGATGTTTTCTATCTGACCTGAAAAGCTGTAAAGCGAGTGCAAGAACACGGAAAACGGGTTAGTGGTACCCAGGCAACATGGTGAAACCCGTTTGAAATTTCATACCCATCGAATATGACTCTCACATAGCTAAGGCGGGAGTTGCTCAAGTTAAAATTTGGATTCAGAAGCTATGAGCTACAGCTAATAGAAAACAAAAGAAAACAACAAATTCCAAGTCACTCCCACTGTTTTTCGTTTTGTTTAATCCCTGCGTGTCTGACTTATGATACATAGCGACTCCCTTATTTGTGTAAGCTACGTCATAACGTAGTTTGTTTCCTCTGGGCTTCTGTAGAAACACGCGCATGCGCACGGTGCAGTTGGACCTAGCGTGAATGTTTGTAGTCCTACACACGTGTTCCCAGCTCGTATGCTGCTGTAACGTCTAACATGGCAAAAACAAAAGTAAGATCATTTCATAATGCATTTATATTAACACTAATTTAAAATGCTTTGAGTTGTAATAGTTTAGGTGCTACGGGTAACCATCTGCTTGTTGTCATATACAAGCAGACTTGGCTAACCAACTCTTGTTACTTCGGAGACAGAATAATACATTTTTTAACCAGATTTGACCTAGTTTAAGTCATGACAGTCTCTTTCATTTGAGTCAGAATATGTAGTTTTTTTTGGAAATGCTGTTAATTTGCAAATAAACCATATGTCTTTATTTTCAAATGACAAGTTACAATTTAATTAATCACACTGAAATCACTTTACGTTGTGTTAAAAAGTGAACTGCTTTCTAAATACTGAGCCTAAAGAACCTATAGGGGTGTCAAACTCTAATTCACAGTAGGCCAAACTTAATATTCATTGAAAAATTGGTGGCATGTTGTGCGTGTGTGCGTGTTTTCCCTTCTCTCCATTCTCTTCCATTTTGTTGTTATTCTGTCTTCTCTGCGTTATAAAAAGGCTTTAACTAATGGGGCAGATTCTGTGACATAAAGTTAAGATAGAAAAAAATGTATTGCCTCACAGGTATTCTGTTTAAAATGTATAAATGTTGTGCTGTTTATTTTTCTCTTAGCACATAGCTCCAGCACGTAGAAAAAGAAAAAGCCAAGTTTCTACAGAGGAGTCTGGAGAAAAACTCACAGGCAAGTTGATTTTTTTCCCTAATGTGCAACACCAAGAGTCTGAGGGATAATAATTTTAAGAAGATAAAATTATTAGTACTCATTTTTTATTTTTTATTTTATTTCAGAGGAACAGACTGAGACAGTTTGTTTAGAAGAACAAGTGGAAGAAGAAGCAGCAGCAGCAGTGGTGTCCACAGAGGTGAAAGTGGAAGAAAAGGACCAAGATGAAATTAAACCATGTACAGAGGCTGATGAAGGCCAGGGTGATGATGCCACGACAGCCACTCCAAGTGATCAACAACAGTTGACAGGAAGTGGTAGGTCCCTAATGCAATACAAGTCTATATGTTTTAAATAAAACCTAGAATAGTATGGTGTGTAGATAATAAATCTAATATACTGTGTCTTGTAGTTTCACTTCATAATTTAAAAAAAAACAAACTTTAAAGATCGGCCAGAAATATGGCAACACAGTTGTAAAAAAAAACAAACTTCGGCCAGAAATATGGCAACACAGTTGTTTCAACATTTTGCATAACGATGTCACAAAATGTTTCCTTTTTTTGTCTGTTCCATTGAAAGGGAAACGGAAGGTGGAGTCCGACAATGACGGCTGTGAATCGAAGAAAATAAAGCTCATCAATGATGGTGTGACCTCACAGTCATTCTGCATCTGTCACTCAGCTAAGAGAGATTTCTCCTAAATACCTCTCTCTCTCTGTTTTATTACAGGTCATTGTCTCTATGTCGGAAACCTGAACAAGTCGAAATCATTTGACGAGATCTTGGATTCATTAACGACGTACCTGGTGAAACAGTGTCTTCTGTTTCAGGATGTCCGACTAGACCGATCAAGGTGGGTACCAGGAACCTTCTGTTCTTGTCTGTGCAGTAGAACAATTTTTAAAAACTCTATTATGTCGTGTTTTCTGTTGTAGGAAACATGCGTATGTGGATTTGGCCTCAGAGATGGACTTAAATAAAGCCCTGGCCTTGAATGGTGAGATGATGCTGGACCAAGCCTTGAAAATGGCTAAGGCCAAGGTTAAAACTGCAGAGCAGGTGAAGAAGAAGAAGAAGAAGAAAACTCCATCGAAGAACAAGGGTGAATATTGCTACAAACTTCCATATCGGTGATCGTCAACTGTAGAAATGCACTCATTCAAATCTGAAATCCTTTTCAGCGAACAACACCAGATGCCTCTTCCTGAAGAATCTTCCATACACGGCAACAAAAGAAGACATCATGAAATTTTTTAATGATGATGTCACCGTCAGATTTCCTGGTGGAGCTGAAGGGCCGAGCCACGGGTGAGAGATTTTAACGTAACAATGAAATGACAATTATATTATAATGGAATTTTCTATTCATCAAAATTAAAATCTCTTGGTCTAAAACCTAAGAAGAATCTTTATATGTTGATTATAAACGCTACAGAGCATTTCTGTTTACATTTGGTGATTGGTTGCAGGGGTCTTTAATAACACATTCTAATGTAAACCGCAATTTTACCTAAAGTACTGATTATAGAACTATAAATCCTTTGACACAAGTTGAGTAGTCAGACCAGCACTTACAAGTGTTGTGTGTAATTAACTAAGTTTTATTATTTTACAACAGCATTGCTTTTGTGGATTTCAAATCGAATTCCATCGCTAAGAAAATGCAGCAAGAAAAACACGGGAGTCATTTTCAAGGCCGGGAATTAATTGTTGACTTCACTGGTGGAAAACCTGACGCTAAAGTGACCAAAGCTGAAATAATCAAGGATAAAACTAAAGGTAAAAAGAAAGACACAAATGTACATTTTACCGTTAGTGTAATGTTTTTGTTTTTTCAAATAGATTTTGTGAAACATTTCTCAACAGCACCTCCTCCCAGCAACACATTATTTGTGAGAAATTTGTCTATAAATGTGAAACAAAAGCAACTCCGCAAAATCTTTCCTGATGCCGTGAACATAAGACTGCCGGACAAAAATGGCAAATCAAAGGGGTGAGTAAAGTCAGGGTCCCAGGTTTTTTTTCGGTCAGAGAAGATGTTATTTAAATACTCTTTAATTCTATAATTCTCTTCAGATTTGCTTTTGTGGAGTTTCCATCAGTGGCAGACGCTGAGAAAGCCTTGCAGTCAACTGGCAGGACGAAGCTCTGCAAAAGACCGATGCGGGTGCAGTTCTTTGAAGAGAGGGAAAAGAAGAAAAGGGGAAATGGTAGGTATTTTTACTCTTTTTAGAAACAAATACTTTGAACGTGTTCATTATAAATATCGACACAATTATTAAACTCATATTTATCTTCGTGATTGTGCTTTCAGTTGACTTTAAAACATTGATGATCGGAGGCCTAGCTGAGACCACCACGTCAGAGACACTAAAAAATGCATTTGAAGGAGCCTGCAGTGCCAGAATCCCTGTTGACAAAGAGACAAATGTCTCAAAGAAGTAAGGAAGTATAACGTTATTAAATACTTTTTTTTTTTCTCCATACATTTTTCTTCCTTACTTAACCTTTCGGAATTCCGTGTTTCTCAGATTCGGTTTTGTGGTGTTTGAAAGTGAAGACGTTTGCAAAGCTGCCAAAAAAGCCATGGAGGACTGTGAGATAGACAGCAGCAAAGTGACCATCAGCTTTGCAAGATCCAAGATCGAAAAGGGTCAAACTGGCATAGGAGGCGCTGTGGGACGTCCTAGTGATAAGACTGCGGGTCAGGGGGCTGATAAAGGAAAGAAGGAAAGCAGCAGCCAAGGAGGTAACACCGATGTACACACTGATTTACTCTGATTTATTCCTGTCACGTGCGAATAAGTTAATTTAAGGTTATCTTACCTAGAGAGCCCCATGTTATTAATCCTACCTACATGTGAGTTTTTGCATCCACATGGTCATGGTCACATGTTCACAAAATCGGCCCATGTATAGACAAAAGTCGACCCACTTGACGTGTGATCAGGCTGTATGTGGCCCCTGAACCATGAGTTTGACACCCCTGGTTTAAATAAATGTTCAGTTGTACTTAAATGTGAATTTAAAGGAAACCTGTGAACACCAGTATTTTCTTGTTTCTTTCTGAGGTTGTGGTGAGTTTTCTCTCTTAAATAATGTGGTCAAGCAACTGATGTTTGTTTTTGTTTTTTGTTTTTTTCCCAGGTAAAAGACCTGGAGCTGCTTTGGAAACGCAGAAGGCGAAGGATGTGGAAAATAAGGGCTAATGTTTATGTACTAGAAAAGTTTGTGCAGACTGTGTGAACCATTGACAATTATTTGTCATAATTGACCTTTGGGTCAGGAGAACCTTTATTTGTTATTTGTCAGTTCTTTCAGGTAACGTCTCAATCAAAAAAGTTTTAATGAAAAAAACTGATAAGTAATTTACCTGTTTGTAAATTTCTAAATGACGATTAAATGTCATGGATTGTTTTTTTCCCTCACATTTTTTGTTCTTATATCCAAGATACAAAGGGTGACATCAAAAATTAATTTATAGTAATTGATTGGGGAAAAAAAGAAACCCCACCACTATTACTGAACATAATCTCCACCAGTGGGTCACTAATTGTGTGGAAGTGCAAACAGTCTGTGTTTTCTCAGCTGCAGGTTGACTGCATAGCTTCAGGCCAAATGTTACGTCACATGAACACCATTGATGTCAGCAGAGATTTGACTAAATCTGATGTTACAGAACAATCAGTATTATTTAAAATTCATCCTTTTTTTAAAAAAAATTCCTGGAAGTATACTCAGATTTTTGCTAAAGAACACATTTATTTTGGTAGAATTACAATGAAAATAGTGAAATTTTGAAATTGTTATAATAAGAACTCTTTAATGAAGCTTCTTTTTTGCTCAGTACATTGTTACATCATCCCTACAGGATTTATCTTTTTATTTTATTAAGGCCTTCAAATGGGACTAGCCTATGAACAGCATAACTGTGCGTGGCCCAGACTAAAACTGACCAGACAGTGATTAAATATCGCTTATTTTCAATGTCTATGAATTGTTTGGACGTATTTTTTCATATACTGCTAATATTAAAGAAGAAATATAAGTGTAAACGATCTTTAACGTTGTCGTGGCCAGTTTGAACCAGTTTACAGTGTCTTCGGTGGAACATGTCTCTACACATCTCCACTTTCCTCAGACTTAGACACTTTCAGCCCAAAACTCTTCTACTGACTGGTGGTCTCTGATGACCTCACATCCTGTTTCCCACTTCCTCCTGAGTGAAGCGGTTTAGGACGGTCGGGTCCACGGTGCAGCGTGGATGATTGGGCGCGATTCCTCGCATATATACTGACGGCGGTCGTTAGTGGAAGGTTAACCGAGTGCAGTGGTCGGTTTAAAGCGGTACCACAGACGTGGCCATGCCGTGTGAGACTCACTGACAGAGGAGAAGAGTGTGGTGAGTCGTTTACGACGCCTGAATTACGGTCTTTTCCCACTTTTGTGCACTTTACTCACTGTTTTTCTGAAGAGAAAAGTTCAGTGTTATTGCTACTTGTTCTGAAACGTTGCAACTATGCGACTTAGTAAGAATAACAGAGTAGGTAAATTCCCACAAAATGCGGTTAATCTCACAAAACACTTATTTTAATTATTTCTGGAAAATATATTTATATTAATATTCGGGCACCTGTTGGTAGTGCTACTTTTTTTCAGTACTATGACTTGACATCGTCTGGGACATGTTCACACTTGTCTGTCTTGCGTTAATATTTCCAGTTGTTCCTTTTTGTAATTTATTTTTTATTATTTATCCACCATTTATATTTTTAATTCATGTTTACTCGTTTGACGTTAAATTGAACGTGTATGGGCATATAACAGGGTGTTAATGTATTTAAAGTGCTCCCCATTAGCATATATATATATATATATATATATATAGTTTAAACATTTGTTAATGAAAAAATAAACGAAAAACTTCAACCCTGTATTACAGTCTGAACTTTAGTTACAGTTCTTTATCTCCAAATAATCATGTCCATTGTTCACATTATGATTATTCACATTTATTCTCACCCCGAAATAGCTTATAATTTAGAAAAAAAAAACCCAGAACATGCTAGGTTAATCATGATGAAGCTATGGTCAAAAAAAGATTTTCTTTATACATAGTAACAATGTAATGCCACACTTTATTAGTTTCCTGTGGCCGAAAACCAACTGACAATGACAATTCCTACGTATCGTGACACACATGTATGTGTGTGTTTGTGTTCTTTTCCCTGGTCTGTGGAGTCTGTGGGTGTGTGGTACTGAAAGGTGAGGTCTAATGGATGGTCAAACATTAAACAAACATGAATTATGGTGGGCGTGAAGGTTATTGAGAACATGTGCACGGTGCAAAGGTTTATACAATGTTAACAACAAGCCTCTCTTATGAGCTCTCTCATGAGGCTTTGATGATGTCCCTCTAATTAAAATAAAAGGTACAATCACTCATCAACTCAGATGGTGACGATAAATGAACATAATTTGTCCTCCCGTTAAAGATCTGTTATTTCCCCACTTTGTTATATCTGAAAATATATGAGTGAGTAAACGAAAATTAAATAATCAAGGAGAACAGCATAATCACGTTCACAAGAAGGCCGTAAACTAATGATCTAGGTTGCTAGCTGACGTTACCCTTTTTTTCTGACCTAATACACTGCATCTATCATTAATTTTTTTTCTTTCATTTTGTTTCTCTTTTCTTTCGCAGTTGTTGCAGTTTTGACACAATGAAGACAAAAGAGGGGACGATTATAAACCAGGGCCTGGAGGATGAAATGGTTAGCTTTCTGTACCTAAAGTGTTAAGAACAAGCTTAAATATTTGCTGTCCTTGCATAAAGGTGCTCGGTGTGATCGTGACAATTGATGATTTTAACACTGATTATTTTCTACCTATTCTTCTAATGCTGTTTTCCAGAAAATGAAGTGTATTTAAGATGCATATTTAGGGAATATTTATCATATCATAAATATTTTATTTGTTGAAAAATGTTCTCGTTTATTACAAAAAGTTTATTACAAAAGCTAGCTAAAGCTAAAGTAGCTACCCCACAAATTCCAATTCTGATATTATTTACCTCCAGCTAATATCTGTCTCTGTTGTAGGAGGTGTGGGGCTACCGGCCATGTCTGTGGAAGATGATCCTCGTCGGAATGGCTGCGGTGTGCTCCGGTGGTCTTCTCCTGCTGCTGCTCTACTGGTTACCTGAGTGGGGCGTGAAGGTTACCTGCACACACACCTCGCTGAGGGACGCACACACACTCCTGCTCAGGACCACAGTAAGTGGATTCTTTTTTTGTTGCAATTTTTTTGTGGAAGTAAGAAGAAAGAAGAAATGTTGAATTTGTTCCACTTTTGTTGCAGGATGAGTTCAGGCAGTGGTTTCGAACTACAGTACATGTCATGTTGGCTCCCAGGAGGAAACCCTTTGACAGTTTGACTCAAAAGTCCACAGGTCAAGTTTCGAATGAAGACCACATTGTCAGTAGTATTCCAGAGGAGCAGCATCAGGTATTTGCTCATAAGAAGGAGGCTCAGTGACCTCCAAAAAAATAAAACTGTGTACACCTTTTTTAAATATTAATTTTATAAAGATATATGTAACATATATGTCAACGTCTTTCTTTTTCCATGCACAGATACACTACTTCACTCACCACAGCACTACGTACTTCTGGAATGATGAGACCCAGACTTTTGACTTCCATAAGTATGACCCCCCTTGAATGTGGTCACTTTCTCCTTTTTCTTATATTGAACCAAAAATGTATAAATGTGGCCTAAAGTGGACATGAATGTGTTTGGATTTTCTAGAGGCTTGGAGGATTTGAAGGTGAGCTGCGCTTCCATTCACTCAGACCACAGCAGTGGACTGTCCAAGAGTGTTCAGAACTACAGGTACTTGGATGTTTTGGATTTTGTAATGCACTACTGCTGAAATTCTATTTATAATATTAAATAAACTGCTCCCATCTTTTTTTTCAGGAGGCTGTTTTTTAGTGAGAATGAAATCGCTGTGAGGGTTCCCTCTCTTTTTAAGCTCCTAATAAAAGAGGTAAGAGATTATTCTGTATTCTAATTGTATCATAAAATAATTAATTTTGTAATGAGAGCTTATAACATTATTACAACCTTGTTGTATCGTTATTAGTATCTCATTAACAAATAAAAAACAACAAATTGAGTGACTGTTGCAGAACAAAGTGTTATATTATTATAGTTATTTGAAACATCCGTTTTGTTTTACACCATTACACCTTTGGCTCCTCCCACACCAGGTCCTGAATCCTTTCTACATCTTCCAGCTCTTCAGTGTTATTCTGTGGAGCGTAGAGGATTACTACTATTACGCCACTGCCATTGTTTTTATGTCTGCCATTTCTATAGCTACCTCACTGTACACCATCAAGAAGGTGAGTAGGCTCAGAGCCCCTGAAATTCAAACCTCTCTCATAGGAGCTACATACAGTACAAAGGTTAAATTAGGTTTAAAAAAATGTGTTCCGTTTTCCTGAAGATGGACTCATATAAACTGAATGTCTTATTATTTACATTATATGTTGGGGTAGTAGGTCAGTGTTCTGATAAACAGGACCAAACAGTTTGATCTGCATTTTCTTAATACATCCAAATAGAAAGAAAACAATATGACCTCTTTCATTTCAGCAATACGTGATGCTGCATGACATGGTGGCGGCACACAGCGTGGTCCGTGTTTCTCTGTGCACTGGAAATAACGGTAAGGCGGTCATGATACTCTGCAGCCGGTGATGTTTGTCAGCTGTAATGATGATGATCATTATTTCTCTTTCCTGTTTTTAACAGAAATTGAAGAGGCGATGTCTACAGAGCTTGTGCCCGGTGATGTCATCAATATTCCGACCAATGGGATGATTATGCCATGTGATGCCGTGCTCATCCATGGAACCTGCATTGTAAATGAGAGCATGCTGACAGGTTTGTACTTCTATTCTGGTCTCTCCCTGCGATTAATCTGATTAACAATAATTACTGAATCACTTTCAGGAGAGAGTGTTCCAGTTACCAAAACCAGTGTTCCCAGCTCAGGTGATGACGCCGCCAGGAGTTACAACATGGAGGAGCACAAGAGACACACTCTGTTCTGTGGTACTCATGTGATCCAGACTCGCTTCTACACTGGTGAATTGGTGAAGGCTGTTGTGGTCAGAACAGGTGAGGAGACGGAGGAATAGTTGCTCCCTCCAACTGCTTTATATTGGTGGAGTTTTTTTTTTTCAACACTTGTTTTTCCCAGGCTTCAGCACAGAGAAAGGTCAACTGGTTCGCTCCATCCTCTACCCTAAACCCACCGACTTCAAACTGTACCGTGACGCCTACCTGTTCCTGCTCTGTTTGGTGGGCGTGGCAGGGATCGGCTTCATCTACACCATCGTCCTCAGTGTGATGAACAAGGTACGCTTTGTTCCACTGCTCCTAGTCACGGTGTAAACGTGGTGCGTTTGTCAGATGTTTATTTCCCCTCTCTAGGTTCCAGCGAAGACCATCATCATTGAGTCTCTGGACATCATCACCATCACTGTGCCTCCAGCCTTACCAGCCGCAATGACTGCTGGGATTGTGTACGCGCAGAGGCGTCTCAAGCGGGTCGGCATCTTCTGCATCAGCCCCCAGAGGATCAACATGTGTGGTCAACTGAACCTGGTTTGCTTTGACAAGGTACTTGAAAGAACTGTTGTTTTTGGAAAAAAAAAAAAGAAAACGCTGTTTTACTTTCTTAAATTTAGTGTTTCATACTCATGTTTTGGTTTCATACCTGACTCCCAGTGTTCCTAGTAAGTGGGAGTAAAAATGCTGTTGTCCTCAGACAGGTACTTTGACTGAAGATGGTTTGGACCTGTGGGGGATACAGAGAGCTGAGAATGGCAGGTAGGACTTGAACCCCTGACTTTGGATTGAGATTCACAATGGCGGGGTTTGAAGTAGAAATTGTAAGAAAAAAAAGATTAGCTGCGGTTTTCACACACTTCTTCAGCAGCCCTGTTCTGAACGGCCAGTTTCTGTGTCTCTACCTTTAAGTGGTGATGAGCTATTGTGCTATTGTGCGCTTGCCAGCAAAGTACTTGAGGGCAGCATCAGGTAACCATGGCAACGATTGAGCGGTGAAAGAGTAGATAACTGCTTGTAATTGGAGCAATCATGTGTTATTTTTGGACAGTAAGGTATTGATGATTGATTTGTTTGGTCTGCACTCACTGAAGGTCGTCTTTCCTTTTTTTTTTTTTATAGCTTTTCTCCTGCAGAGTCAGACGCAGCCAAAGAGAGTCTGGTGAAGTCAGCGTTTGTGGCCTGCATGGCGGCCTGCCACTCACTGACAAAAATTGATGGTGAACTGTGTGGGGATCCTTTGGACCTGAAGATGTTTAACGCCACGGGCTGGGTACGTCACAGTGATGGGCTGGGAAATGGACTCAAGTCTGGTGCCATGGATGTCATGTTATGTTGTGTTTGTTCAGGTCCTAGAGGAGCCCACGGAGGAGGAGACAGCCCTCCACAACCCCATCATGCCTACAGTGGTGCGACCTCCGAAGCATATCCTTCCTGAAACCAGTCTGAACCATCACCTGTCTGAAAGCATGGTACAACATTTTTCCTCAGTACTTAATTAGTCAACTATGAGTGTGTTGGTTTATTTATATTTTTTTACATTAACCACAATGAAAAACAAAAAACAATTCTTGCAACCTGTCTGTCATTTTATGTAAATCTCCGAAACTCCTGGAGAAAAACAATTCTTGCAACCTGTCTCTCATTTTATGTAAATCTCCGAAACTCCTTTTTTTACAGGAGCTTCCTGAAACAAGAGTAAGTTTCTTCTTTTCATTTTAAGCCAGATTAATCCAGATTCTTCCTGACACGTGTCTTTGCTCCTCAGCTCTTTGAGATCGGTATTGTGCGTCAGTTCCCCTTCTCCTCGGCGCTGCAAAGGATGAGTGTGGTGGTCAGAAAGTTGGGTGAAAAGCACATGGATGCTTACCTGAAAGGAGCTCCGGAGGTCGTGGCTGCTCTCTGCAAGCAGCACTCAGGTCTGACTGCACACTAAAAAGCCGGAGTTCAACGTTGCCTTTGAGTCGTAAACTCAAAGCTGCAGAGCTCCTCTATCTATTTATGTAGATTCAGGCATTCATAAAAAAACATCTCATCTACTCTGTTTCTCTCCCTCTGAACTTCAGTCCCCCAGAGTTTCACAGAGACTCTAGAGAGCTACACCAGACAGGGCTTCCGGGTCATCGCCCTGGCACACAGACAGCTGGAGTCCAAACTCTCATGGCACAAAGTCCAGAGCCTCAGCAGGTGTGTTTTCATTCACAGATAACCCCAGTGCAGAGGACTACAACACAACATTGCAGAAACTGCTGGAAATGTATTTCACAAAGTTCACAGTATTGGATCTTTAAGAGGGATTTTACCCAGTGATGACACGTGGAGAGAAATCCATCAATCCTGGAACAATTATCTTCTCACAGATCCCCAAAATATGCAGGCTTATTGAAGACATGTTGACTCAGACAAGCATTGAAAATGTCTCTACTGTTGTCTCTCTGTCTGGAGTTCTGACCTTATTTTGGTAGCAGTAGAAAATGATTAACCACAGAAGTGGATAGGAAGGGACAG